TATATATATATATATATATATATATATATATATGTGCCACTTAACCCAATAATTTTAGTAGCTGGTATCTCAGTAGTGCAAACCTTAATTTCATTTACTAGCTTTTTCAAGCCAAAATTAACATAAATAAATAAATAAATAAAAAAGTTCACATCTCACAGAGATACATCTCATAAGATGTAAAATCTGCATTGTATGGTCAAAAACATCAATGAAATCAGTATACTTGATTTCATTTTACAATTAATAAATGAAGGCATTGAAGAAAGGTGCTATGAAAGATTAAAAATAAAACATTCAATGTTTTGTGTCCATATTTCATCAGTTTGTCATGCTGCTATTATCTAATTTTTTCATCTTATTTCTGCTACACTATTATTTTCGGGTCTTAACAGAGCATAAAACAGATTTGAGATAGAAATAACTGGTCTATATGATGCAGACAAATTATGTATGCCATCTAATCAATACGTTTACCTAAAAAAACATAACTTTCTTTTTTGGGTGAAAATTCCATTAGAAAAAACAGACAATGATCAACCTACAGCAGCATTCTCACAGAGACTACTTTTCCTTTCAAGAATAGAGAAACTAAAGTTAGATATCTCAAGTTTCAAGAGCTGAATGGGGTTGAAGTGCCATTACTTTATTTGTAACACTGGACTGAAAAGCATTTTAATGGAATCCATGCAGTTTCATTCCAGACTACATCATTTGGCTTCCAGAGTGGAGCCAACCTTTTCTGTTACAGAATCACACAGAGTTTGGATGTCTGCTGTGCTGATCTGTTCACTTTGGGTCGTTCCTTTTCATTTGGTCCATCTTTCTGTGCGTTAGCAGCAGGCTTGTTGTCAACAGCTCGTCTCGTCTGAGCCCGATGCAGTAGAATTCGATAGACTCCAGTGATGGAGCTCCTGCAGTCTTTCCCCTGGTTGTTGAGGATGTGCTCTGAAGTGATTCCTAGCGTTTCTAGAGCTGCTTTTACCTCCAGCTCCTCCTCCAGCAGTTCACATGGATCACTCTCAGCTAGATAGGAAGGGTCCAGTTTAAATGGCTCCATGGCACATGGGAATTCCACTGGGAGCAGCCACTCACAGCCCATCATCTGCTCCACTGTGTAGCGATTAGCTGGTACCTGCTGGAGGATCCCTCTGATGAGCCTCTGGCACGCCTCTGGCACCCAAATGGGCATTGTGTAGGTCCCCTCCATGATGCATTGCTTCAGTTTGGCCACAGTTGCTGCTCTGAATGGCATGGTGCATGTAACCATAAAAAACAGCATCACCCCAAGGGCCCAGATATCTACAAAAGCTCCAACATAATTCACATCCCGAAAGAGTTCTGGTGCAGCATAAGGTGGAGAGCCACAGAACGTGCTGAGCCTCTCATTGTGGTGGGTCTGCGTGCTAAATCCGAAGTCTCCCACTTTGACGCAGGTGTCGCTGGTGTAGAAAACATTTTCGGCCTTCAAGTCACGGTGGACGATGTTGTTTTCATGCTGTGAAAGATCAAAAGAAAAGATTTATCAAGTGCCAGCTTTGGAAAGATTGACTTGATACTTTTGTTAAGAGAACAAATTGACACATTCAAGCCTAGTATCAGTGTTAAGACTGTATTTTAAATAATTCTCAATTAAGACATTTACATGAAATAATTTTAAGCAAGCCTACTCATATCTACTTCTCCATTATAATCTGATATGCACTGACCATGTGTTTGACAGCAGAAAGGATCTGAGCAAAGACGTTCTTGCTTTCAGAATCAGAAAGTCTTCCTTCTGTAATGATCTTTGTGTAGAGCTCCCCTCCACTTGCATACTCCATCACTAAATATAACCGTGACAACGTCTCCACCACCTAAACAGGACAATGACATGTCAAAACAAACAACACTGGACGTTGTCTAGTCTTTGTGATCACCGAGTCAAATTTAGGCGTACCTCATAGAGGCGTATGATGTTGTGGTGGTGCAATTTTTCCATGCTCGAGATCTCTCTGGAAAGCAGCCACTGAGTTTTCTGATCCAGCCTGGTTTTGTCTAAGATCTTAATGGCCACTTTGTCTGGTGATATCAAAGAAGAAATTTATGAGCAGAGGCATGACACCCTTAAAGTGTCCTGTTATTTTTAAATCGTCACTTTACAATATAAAAGCTAATTTTAAAAATTGCATGTGTAAGTCACCTATAAAATAAAACATTTATTATATTGGTTTTTATTTAAATCTTTATAAATAGTAAAATATGATAAGACTGAAACAGCAAACTGACAGCTCTAATTAATATGATGGAAGATTAGCTGCCCTCAGAAACCACTATTCTTGATTATGTCCTTACAGGGGGTGAAGTTACACTTTAAACACAATCTTCAAATTAAATTAGATTTTCTATATTTCACTTTTCATACAATAGGTCTCTAACTCTACACAGGTGAGTTAAAAATGGTCAAGACTCAATACAACATTCAAGAGAATGCTGATTAAATTTAAAAAATATCTAAATACTCAATAAATATTCAAGTTGACCAATTGAGATCTTAACTGTACGCCTTTAAATCATTTATGGACATGCACTAAACAGTTCTCAGGTGACTGAATGCAGAAAAGTTCTTAAGTAGCAAAATGGTGTTGAGATATCTAATTGTGTTTGAGTATGCATTATTAAGGCTGGTATTAGGCTCTGTTTCAGCTGCAGCATAGATGTCAAGAGGAACATTCAAAATGTGTTGCAGCTCATATGCAATAGTTTCTGACTATGTTATTATGTTTCCTTACACGTAAAACAAATTTGCATAATAAAGAAGCCAAAAAATAGCTAAAGAAGTAAACCTTAAGCATAGATTGTACACAAACTAACTGAGTTACCCACTAATTTCTTTCTTTGTCTAGTCTTTGATGAGGCTAGCTATCTCTAAGAAAACCTGAGAACTCTAATCAATCCCTCTGGCCAAGGGCATCAGACAGTCTGCATCTATGTAGCTGAATCAGCCCGGTGGCCAGGCACACAGTGCCTTGTTAGTGAATCGCTATAAAACAATGCACTTTTTGGAGTTTCAGACTATTGATGTAAACTCTATATCAGCACACACACACACACACACACACACACATTTGATTCCTTTCAGGAATAATTAATATTTCAATATCTACCCTGGATTCTTACAGTTTTAAATTATGCCATTTCATTATGGAATTTTACCAATGTTTAAAAAAAAATGCATTGTTCAGTCACATGGCATTTGGAGGGCTGGTTGTACCTTTGGTGAGAGCATGAATTCCTAGTTTGACATGGGAGAAATTTCCACTGCCAAGCTGCCCCGCACTTATCTTGTAGAAGGCAATTCTTCGACCTAGTGTCAGCTCACGGACCATCCTGTGACCAGATTACAAAACAGTAATTGTGACAATAATATTTTACATGATTTACTATAGCAAAACCACATCAGATAGAGAGAAACAAGAATGCTAGTAGAGAATCATCTCCTATAACTAAATTATGGGGGGGGGGGGGGGGGGGAGATCCCCCACGCCTCCCTTTCATCCTGGCACATATCCAGATTGAGCCTTTCCAATGCAGTGAGGTGGCGGACAGTGGCCCCCTCATCGTCTGTGTTGATGTCCGAGCTGTCTTGGCGGCTCAACCTTTGGTAACCAGTAACTGCAACTGTGCCACTAGAAGTACTTCCTACAGAGTCCCTGTTAGATCCTCTGCCATCTGCTGCTGTAACGGAGCTGTTGCTGATGACTCCTGTTGTCCCAGCCTGGGCCTCAGTCCCATTAGGGTTGCTCTCAGAAGGGCAGACATCAGTCATCCTTTTAGGCACGTTCTGGGTGGAGTTGGTCTTACGCTATGGAGAGGATTGATGCAGAGCTGAATGAAAATAAAAAGCAGTTGTTTAAGGACCTTTCATATTACATTTGAAAATCTATAAATCTTAATATCAAAAGTGTTCTAATAGTTTAATTTCAATTCAATTCAAAAATACTTTATTAATCACAAAGGGAAATTATTTGTTGTTGTAACTAGTTATCCTCATTTCATTAAGAGATGTTATAGATGCTGATGGCTGTAGGCAGGAAGTATCTCTTGTAAAGGTCCATCCCACAGTGGATCTTAAGAAACTGGCTGCATATGCCGTCCGATCCGTCCACTCAGACTTGACTGGCCTCTTGGTTCCCCCGGGCCGTAGGGCTGCCCTAATGCCGGGCAGAACTCCTCCTGGAGCCTCTCCTCCCAGCAGTCTGCTGAGCTCCTCGTCGCCGCAGACGGACAACTGTAGGTGCCGAGGGATGATCCGGTCCTTCCTCTGTCATGACCCGTGTTTCCTGCTGGCTCCAGGATCTCGGTGGTCAGGCACTCGAGCACAGCTGGCAGGTTGATGAGAATGCGTCCACAGAACATACTTTCAACTCATTTGAGATTTGGAGCTGTGGTTGAGATATTATTTGAGCTTTTGAGATGTTAATCAGCTGCTGTTGGTTGTAGAAAACTGCATTGTTGCCATGGTTACGCATCATAACAAATGTTCAAAACCAAAAAAGTCTCAGCAAAAATCCCTCCAGCTTCACAACTTCCAATACCAGAGGAAACATTCATAAAAAAAAATGTGATTTACATCCAGAAAAAGAGGAATTAAAGTTTCCAAAAGCAAAATCTCAAAATGAATGTAACAGAGCTGCTCCAACATGCAGCCACCTTGAGCGGCGCAATTCTAGAATTTAAGCTCAATTAAATACCAGATTAATAATACACAGACTTACCTTTGCCGTAAATCTAAAAGAAAACAGAATTGTTTCCTAATCCCCAACATGTACACAACTATAACATTACCTTACACAAACAAGTAACAAACAATGCAAACTTCGCTGGATAAAAATTCTGAACATAAGCAATACCACAATTATTTAAAAAAAAAAAAAAGTTAAACAAAATGACTGTGTTAAATGAAAGACCCAGTGTTAAATTTGATACCAAACAAAAGTGTGACACAAAAAATGGACTTACCTTCAGATGTTAGCTATTTACAAGATAAAGTCCTTTTGAATTCCTCCTTGTCCAAACACCACTGCTGTTTAGACAAATGAGTACATTACAAATGACTTTTACTGTATTTTAAACGAATATCCCAACTTCTATCCACGCCTAAAGATCAAGTTGAGGCTTCATCCAAAATATCCCCAGTACAATCCAGCAAGAGATGGCCATAACTGAATCTTCTGATCAGTTTGTCCTCGGAGGCTTAAAGCTGTTGTCCCGTTGTTGCATTTTCCAAATATCCGCTTGTGGCATTGTTTCGTTGTTGTATTTTTTTGAATTTCCACTTCTTGCATTTTTTGAATTTCCATTTCTTCTTACTTTCTGCTGCTGAACAAAAAGACGATGAGTGTAGAGATCCACTGAAGCATGTTTTATCTGATTCATGCTCACCGTTGTTGGTGGGAGCTTTAACAGACTCTTTGGATGTTGCAGGGTATTAATAGGCCACAGGGTGAGGAGGAGGGAAGAGGAGAAGGATGAGGGACGTTAAAAGAAAGAGATTGAACCATGAGGAGGGGCAGCCATGGGGTGACTGGCAGGGCAGCCTGCAAAAAAAAAAAAAAAAAAAATCACACACAAAAAAAGCTAAAATTAAAAATGACATATTTTAAAATTGTATACAGTATTGCTATTTATGACTGTTGTTTTTAAATTTCAGCAGCTTTAATATATTATTATATGTTTATGCTTTTTTATTCTCTACCTATAAGGATATCAAAATGAATTTTGTAACAAGCACTGTTGAAAACATACATACACCTCATAGAAAACATTGAGTTTGTCTGCACAACTCAAAAAGTTTGCCTATTCAATCTGCACTTCAATGGCCGCTGATCCTCTTCGTAAATCTTAATGAATGTAGTGCTCTTACAGGGATTCAGTGTTGCTATGGAAGCCAGAGTAAACAAATCTAAGATGTCTTTATAGAACAAAGATACTTAGAATCTGAAATACTTGCATAACCATTTCTATTTCAAACGCAGCGTATGAGGGATACTTGTCAGTCCATCTTTTGTATTTGTTATGTTTACAGTTGTACAAGGTTGTAATGGCATGTATGTAGGTGATAACTGCATGGTGTTCTAAGAGCAAAACTCTAACAATGTCCCATGAGAGAGAGAGAGCGGGCGAGAAAGAGAGAGAGAGAAAATCTGCAGTGAAAATGAATCATGATGCAAAATAAAAGTCTCTAAATAATAATGTTAAAAAAATATATATTTTTTTTTATTTACTTGGGTTATGTGTTTTAACATTTCAGCTTTTCAGAATTGCAAACAGACCTAAATTTAGCTTAAATTTGATGCATTTCTCTTTGTATATTAGTGAAACATGAATTATTCAATAACAACATCAATGCATGCTAAAGAGTGGAGTGGAATAGAAACTAAACACTAATTACTTTGCATCAATTTTATTAACAATAAGCTATTTCCAGATAAGGACATTTACACTTATTGCATTACAGCTTTTATACAAAATTATGCATTATTACATCCCAATAGGGAAATCAAACATAAATTACCTTAGCGGGACAGTAGTACAAATTACTTTGTAATAAAAGTACTTTTATTTACTACTAATTAAATTATTGATTTAGGAAAAAAGGACAAAACTCAATCTAACAAGGTTGAGTCCGTTCTTCTGGACAGATTTTTTGTTGAAATGTTTCATCTTTTATCCTCAAGATTTCTTCAGTCTGAGGAGCTGCAAGCAAACTCAGTCTTTTAAGCAGCACATTCACATAGTGGATCAACCAGTTTGCTGGTGACAGTCAAAACTAGTTGTTCACATGAAAAGGAGGACCATCAACCTAATGATCCGAAGGCCGCTTACTATTCACAGCGATCCTCGTAATAACAGCATTGTAAGAGGGTGACGCCCCTGTTTAACGATGGAAGGGTTTTCATCACAAAGATGGCTTCCTTTATGCCACTGTCAAACCAACATTCCTCTCTATCATGGATGTGCACATCTTCATCCCTGAAAGAGTGACCACTGGCCTGCAGATGACTGTAGACCACAGAGTCCTGGCCTGATGATGTTCACAAACAAACATTATCCGTCCATCATTAAACAGGGGTGGAGACCTCTGTGTTCAACTGTCACCCTATTACAATGCTGTTATTGCAAGTATCCATTAGCCCTCTGAGAATAGTAAGCGGCCATCAGGGAACTAACAATCAGTCATTAGCCTGACTGTCCTCCTTTTGCACATCTTCCAAGCTCTGGTCAATGACATCTTACGTGACTTTCCAAGCTTATTTGTATTCATCTATCTGAATGACATACTGTTCTACTCCAAGGACCCCCGGCAGCACACAGAACATGTAAGGTATGTTCTCCAAAAACTCCTGGATAACAAATTATACATAAAAGCAGAAAAAGGTGAATTTCATGTCTCAACTGTTTCTTTTCTGGGTTTTACTTTTGGGAGTGGGCAGGTACAAATGGATCTGGAGAAAATCAAATCAGTCTCAGAATTGCCAGTGCCCGAGAATCGTAAACAACTTCAATGCCTTCTTGGGTTTGCAAGTTTCTACAGATGGTTTATCAAATATTATAGCCAAACAGCCTTACCTTACTAAACATACATCTACACTCAGATCTTTTACCTGGTCACCAGAAGTTAACTCAGCTTTTAGCAAATCACAATAACTTTTCACTTGTGTACCTATCCTCTCCCATCCGATCCTAAGCAGCAGTTCATCCTTGAAGTGGATGCTGCAGACTCTGGAGTGGGGGCTGTTCTCTCCCCATGGTCAGAAGATGATGGTAAACTCTATCCTTGTGCTTTTTTCTCTTGACACCTATCCCCAGCTGAGCAAAATTATGACTTGTGTAATTGTGAGATGTTAGCCATTAAATGCTCTGAAAGAGTAGAGACACTGGCTGGACAGATCTGAACAGTCCTTCGTAATTTAGACAAATAACAATAATCTCACTTACATTTGAGGTGCTAAAAGTCTGAATGCATGTCAAGTCTGATGGTCTCTGTTTTTTGCCTGATTCAAATTATTTATTGTCCAGGTTCCTACAACATCAAGTCAGATGCCCTTTCTCACCAGTTTTCATCCTTTGAATCTTCCAAGATAGATGAAGTCATCCTTCCTCCTACACGTACAGTTGTTTATCTTGGACATGGTCAAAGTGATCCAAGCGGTATGGAAGGCTGATCCTGACCCAGACACCGGTCCACCAGGTAGGCTGTTCATCTACCTGGCCAAGTTATTGGGTGGGTTCACATGTCCAAACATACCCCTTACTCTGGTTTGAACCGATGTTGTCTTTCACTAAAAAAACATTTTTGGTAGACTCATGCATACTGACATCAAGGAGCATGTTACAGCTTGTCCTACCAGTGCCAGAAACAAGCATGGAACCCAATCTCCCACCGGCTTCCTTCAGCCACTTCTGACTCCCAGCAAATCCTGGTAACATATTGCTCTGGACTTTATCATCAGTCTACCACCTTTGGAAGGTAACATCATCATCCTAACCATTGTTGACCGCTTCTTTAAATCAGCACACTTCATTCCTCTCGCTAAGCTTCCTACAGCTCTGGAGATTGCTCAGTTGCCAGTTAATCATGTCTTCTGCATTCAAAACATCCCCACTGACATTGTTGACATTGTCTCTGATCACGACCTTCAGTTTATCTCCCAGGTCTGGAGGTCATACTGCAGTGCACTCAGGGCCTCAGTCAGCTTCACATCCAGTTACCATCCCCAGTCCAATGGTCAGATGGAGAGATGTAACCAGGAACTGCATTAAGGTGCGTGATCAACAACAATCCCTCGTCCCGG